ATTTTTGTGAGAATTATCACTTTATTTTTAGTGATGGCACTCTGTAAGAGATTGTGTTGTCAACTTACCTAGGTAAACAGTCTTAACAATAAAAAATATGAATCTACACTATTGTATATTGAAGGTATTTATTCGTTGCTGTGAAGTTGTGATGGTATAGTTTTTGAAATAATTGAAATTGAAACAAACAATAATCCAAATTTGTTAAGATTTACGTTTTTATATCAATAAGAAGTATTGCTGGGTGTTCCGCCTTTTACTTAACTGGATATCATTGTGCAAACACGGATCTACATCTGAGTAGCAAATAAAGTTGTCCTTTCGCATATCTGTACATTTTAAACCTTTTTTTTTCAGAACGAATTGACTCCTACTAACGATGTTAATATACATTGTGAAACGATCAAAAAGATTATGTCAGCACTTTTTCCCAATACCATGTTATTTTGTATAAATATATTTTAATGAATAAAATACTCTTTACATAGAACAAAGATATTATTATAATACACGTGTGAAATAAATATATTTGAAAAGGTTTTATAACAAAAAATATAACTTATTATCCGTCATAGATTTATCATTTCATTTAAATCCTGTGTAAATGTTTGCTTTATCCTAATAATATAAAATAATTTTGAAATTTGCGTAAGAAAAAAATGTATATATGTATACGCTTAAATAAAATACTTGTGAATATTCTTTTTGAAAGTTGTGATAACTATTTCATGACACTATTTAAACAAGATTTTAAACTCTCTTTTTTCAGATACACACATGCCGAAGAAGATCATTGTAATATCTGGAGAAAACATTTCCTACGTCACGAAATAGACACCGTCACAATGGTCTACAGATGATTGATATATTTAAGTGCTTTTAAGAACAGTGTTTGAATGACGAATTTCTGTGAATACGAATTTTTAATTTTAATGATTATTATCAAAACTTTCTGTAATAATCAATTTGTGCTATGGACTCATTTTCCTAAAATATTATGCTGGTATAGTTTGGTCTAGATTTAAACAACATGCAATTCATAAAGGTTACGGCTTGAAAATATCGAAAAATGTACATGTATAATTCGATCCTTGAAGAAAATATCGCGGTGCGGAAGTTCTGCACTGTGATACGTATTGCAGGACTCTGTATCGCAACATACCGGTTTATCGCCATTCCTTTACAACACAACATTAATGTGTCTCTCTAGAATAAGGCTTACAACAATATATGACTGTTGTAACGAAGACATGTTTATTTTGTTTAATATACATTTGTATGTATACATATTGAATATATGTTTATCAAATAATAAATATTTAAGAGTGACTCGATTTGGTTTTGGAAGATAAAGTTCTTAAGCATATGACTTTACAGTTCACATTCACAATGTATAATCAAACATGTTCTATTGTACTAGCCTGCATTTCGGTAATGTATACGTGTCACTTATATGTAAATGCATGCTTTTGATATTATCTGTACCTTCTTTTATTTCGAAAATACAGTTCTGTATACCCTGTGTACAACTCAAAAATGCAATTCCGTATATCCCCTGTATATATTGAAAATACGATTCCGTATATCCCTTGTATATGTAGAAAATACGACTCCGTATATACTCTGTATATGAATAAAATACGATTCCGTATATCATCTGTATAATTATGTAGAAAATACGATTCCGTATATCTTCTGTATATGTAGAAAATACGATTCCGTATATCATATTTATATGTAGAAAATACGATTCCGTATATCTTCTGTATATGTAGAAAATAAGATTTAGTATATTTCCTGTATATGTAGAAAATACGATTCCGTATATCCCCTGTATATGTAGAAAATACGATTCCGTATATCATCTGTATATGTGGAAAATACTATTCCGTATATCCTCTGTATATGTAGAATATACGGTTCCGTATATCCTCTGTATACGTAGAAAAAAACGAGTCCGTATATCCTCTGTATATGTAGAAATACGGTTCAGTATATCCTTGGTATATTTATAGTATACTAGGGAAAACAACCTTGATAAAGTCCGTATACGGGATTTTATTCTCCGTATACTTCAAAAGTACGAACAAATATACGTACATGTATATGGGACAAATACGGAATTCCGTATATGCCTGATGCCTATACGGACTTCCCGTATACCCGGTGTTCCCTATACGGACTCGTATACTTGGTCTACTTGGTCCGTATATTCGACAAATATATCCCGTACACGCCCATATACAATGTATGTCAAAAATACGGGACCGTATATAACCGTTTATCAGTATATTTTTCGCAGTGTAATGATCACTTTTTGAGGTATCAGAAACAAACGATTCAATAATATATCTGCTACTTTTTGTCTAAACATGATCTATAATTTTTTAGGTACGTTTTGTTTTCCTAGTAGGATCTGTAATAAGTTGTTTCAAAACATATTTCGTTATCAAATCACCCCGTTTTGTATTGTCATATTTTTTTATTTTTATTCATTGGATAAACGTTTATATTGACATCTCCTAGAATATGATATTTGATATTTGATATATCTATTTTACTTAGTTTTTTCTCATAATCGTCAATCCAAGATCGGTGTTCATTTGGTGGGCGATATATAAAATTTAAAAGAAAAGGTTTGCAATTTGGGTAAATAATTTCCAACCAAACAGATTCTACTTCTTCCGTTTCTATATCGGAACGATATATGGCACATTGTCAGCAATATATATTACAATTCCCCCGCCTTTGTGATAACTTTTACGGTCTTTTCTTTCGTGTGTAAAATTGTTTATATTTAATTCATCGTCTGTTGTATCATCGTCAAGAAATGTCTCAGTAAAGCCGAAAATATCAGGCGAATATGATTTGTTTTTATATTGTATATTTCGTTTATTTTAGGTATTAAGTGATTTACGTTAAGGTGTTCAATATGTAAAGCTCGTTTTTCAAACTTAGAATTGAACAATTTAAATACAAACCAAGGCACATTCCTTCTCAAGTTATAAATTGGACAATTATACGACACTGTTACTTTGGTCCTTGATTGAGTAACCTCAAAATTAGTAGGGTAAATTAAATGTCCATGGTTAGTGTCCCTACCAATTTAGAAAAAGTACAATTTCGAAAGATTATTCTACCAACGATGTTTACAGACAATATTGTCCTTCAGTGTTGAATGCATAGGATGTAAAAAAGAAGATCCACGATGGTCGTAGATAGAAACAAACTAGAATGTAAAAGAAATCGAAGTAAAACGTATCTACTAAGATAATTATTGACAGACGGACAGAACGAAGTACCATAACTGTAAGTGCATTGTTTTTATTTCATTTTCAAAAACATAAAAACAAAAAAATTATAAACCACAATAAATCCGGATAAAAGAAGGAAAACATAGCTTAATAATGGAAATTCAGGCTTAATTAAAATAATCTGAGAGGCCTTGGAAGATATACAACACTAAGGTTAAGTTCGGAACAACGTGTTTTTTTTTAACTTAGAAGGAACACTCAAAAGTATTCGCCTTGGTCGAACTTTTGAAAATGACAAATGCATATTGAACAAAATACTTGGAAAAAAAAACAACGTCAGACCGGACGAACAATTCCTACCGATTAAAGAACAAAACATACAATTGAAGATCTGCTGTTTAAATTTTGTTAAAGAAAACAAGGGCATACGTATTAAGGAATGGCAGACGAAAATAACAAATAAATGAAATCATACATCTGTTAACAATGTGTAAGTCTGGAATATAACTTGAATTTGAATTGTACTTAAGAATTAACCTGGCATATTATTAAAGCACCATTTTTCGTTCACTACCATATGCTGGTGAACTCCAAATGGATCTCAAAATTGAGCATCTGTAATAACATTTTTCCCGTTAATCCAGATATGCACCATAACCCTGTATATGAAAGCAAAATAAATCAAAGGTTAAGTGTTCAGCATTTTCATAAAAATACTGCTTTAAAAAAGGTATTTTTTTCCTGATTTGTCTGTAAATTTACTGAAGATATTTTAAAACTTTGTGAACTTCAATACAATGATTTCAAACACATTATAGAAGTCCGGTTACACTGGTCGTGTCAGTGCTATTGTCACTGCTCATGAAAATTTACAACGCAAAAAAATCGGGAGGTTCGCCGTTTGTAACAAATTTATGTTGTTGGGTTCAAACCACATACATTTTGCTTTACCACTGAGCTATTCCACTTTATTATCGGTAATTTAATTGATACATGTGATAACATACCAATGTATAAAAAACATGAGACAAAATGTTTCGAGCAATGTTTGTCATAATTGTAACTTCTCGACGATTATACGTAAAAATCTCGGACTTAATACGAATTGAAAGTAGTTCTATAAAGTGGTTTAAGACAACAGAGTGAATATTTTTTGTAATGTGTGTAACGAATGAATTTATTTGGCATTCAAAAGAAAAAAGGTCTATGTTGGTCAAATTATGATTGAAAAAAATATGTCTGACAATCATAATCAATTTTAAAATGCCCACTGATAACAATTATTATAATTATAATAACAATCTTTGTTATAAATATTTGAATGATTTCAAGAATATTTAAGACTAAATAACTGATGGGTAAATCATCATGAAACAATCTGTTGAAGCTGGACATTAATCAATTATATGACATTAAAACTTTTCATTAAATAAACAACTTTGCAGTTTTGATACTCACGTTTTAAAGTAAACTGTCTTTTAAGTTACATTCCTTGTCTTTGAAATATATATTTATAAATATGATTCCTTTTGAACTTGAAAATCACGAAATATTTTTATTTTCTTATCTAACATAGCTATATTCATAGTCATGCTTGTACTAATCTTATATATATATGCAGAGACATTTTTTCTGAACGTGACAGGGCAGACATTATTTTAAAAAATGATTCATATATCGCCTTGTACATGGTATCTGAAATCTAGAGTAGATATAATTTATTATGATATAAATTATACTAAAAAAATCATATTTACAAATCAATTACAAGTTCAAAAATGTTTAAGATAGATACCTTAAAAACTAAAGAAATTATAGTACACAAATAATGTTTTTCAAGTAAAAAATACAATATCACTATAAGTATATTTGTTGAAGTATGTATAATCTATGAATGTGTATTACTTATCTCTAAGAAAAAAAAAAACACTAGAAACAGTAATAGCACTGCAAAACATAATTTGATCATTGTGCATATGAAATATCTATTGCTTTACATTGAATGTAGTGAACTTTCATTTATAAATTTTGCAGGTGATCACAACGGACTCTTATTAGGAGGCTCTGGCTACCCTTGCCGTAGCTTTTTGATGACACCCTTCCTTAATCCACAAGGCGATGCCCGATGCAGGTTTAATGAGTCACTCTGCCACACCAGAGTGCTCATTGAACAAACATTTGGCATACTGAAGCGAAGATTTCAGGTAAATATTTAAATAATAATAAACTTTCAAGCAGTTAATATTGTAAATACTCTATATTAAGACCACCAACACGACTGGAGCAATCTTATCTTAATTCCGGGATGATCTTAAGTAGTGTTTCTGTTGTAAAATCATTATTGGAATACATAACACTTATTGTAAGATTTACAAATCAAGCAGGTGCATTATGTTTCACAAGTGAGTAATGACCTAAGGAAAATATATAGCAGCATTTCAGCTTTAAAGGGTAGAAAGCTAAGAAATAATTTAACAATTACACAATTTAAAAATGGAGACATGATATTGTTTCAATATTCTTATAGTGGACTATCAAAAGGTTAGTAATATATAATTATTCTATTTAACACACATGAATATTGATCAAAATACTATGCTACTATTTTCAAGTAGGGTTTTTTCCATGTAATTATGATGTTTACAAGCGCCATTAAAATATTTTTTTTCAAACAACTATTTTATAATTATTCCCTCAAAAATTGTAAGATTTAACAAATCATAACAATTAACTTTAAAGGGTAGAAATCTAAGAAATAAAATAATTTTTTTCAAACAACTATTTAATAATTATTCCTTCAAAAATTGTAAAACAAAAATTTTGTAATGATATAGCTTTAAACATTTAAACACAGATACAATAACTTTACTATCAACTTTGTAATTTCACAAGTTTCAAGTGTATTATTTTTACAAAGAGATATGATTCAGTAAAAATGAAATTTATTAAAAAAGGCACATACAATACATTAAGTGTACATAGCACAACAGGACAAAATATCACTCTATTCTTCTTATGTACAATTTATAATTATTTTACTTTTATTACATTTTTAAGGTAAATGTTCTTTTACTAGATTCTACATTATGAAATGGATGTACAGCCAAACCAAGCAGTAGTAAACACGGTTGCAAGTGCTGTCCTTCATAACATTGGCATTATAAGAGGGGACATTATTAACAACGAAAGCAGCACAGACCCGGACAATGATAATGACACTGCACCTCAGCATAATGGTATCCAAGATGGGTCAACAATGAGAGAACATATTGTGCAAAATTATTTTTCATAAAAACTTTACTTTATTCAAACCAAGTGCTAGAGGCTTATTTATTTAATATTTGTAGAAATCCTTAAAGTAATATTACATATCAATGCTCCAGGTATTTCTTGTTTCTGACAGGAAACATTTGCTTCATAAGGTTTTTATAAACTTTTGAAAGGTTATATGGTTCATTCTGACACGACATGCATTTTTCCGTATTGAACATAGAAGCACAGAAAGTGTGTTTTATTATGCTATAAAATCACAGTTTGACATTCTCTATTTAAGAAATAATATATCCCAAACAGTGATTTTATCGCTCTATAACATCACTGTTTGGAGTTCAGATGCGAGGAATAATTTTACGAGGGCGTAGCCCGAGTGATATAACAAGAGCGATCAGAAATCACATGTGTCGTCTCATGATGGCCAATTTCATGTTGGGATAAATTTTGTGACAGATGGACAGACAGACGGACAGTGCACAACTAGACTTGGTACTGATCATTCCTGTAAAGTCTGGATAAAATTGCACCAGTAGTTTAGGAGGAGTAGTCCTGACAAGCTTTTGCGTATCTGGCAACACACAGAAAAAAAACACCTTTTTATCAAAGGGCCATAACTCAGCCGAAAATCATTCAATCGAAAAACCCGTGCAATATGCGCAAGGACTTGAGCTACAGATCAATCCTGTAAAGTTTCATTGAAATTGCATTAGTGGTATAAGAGAAGTTGTCCGGACAAACTTTAAAATTATTAAAGGGCCATAACTCTGACAAAAATCATTGAACCGGAAAATGCTGACAATATGCACAACTAGACTTGGTACTGATCATTCCTGTAAAGTTTGGATGAAATTGCACCAGTAGTTTATGAGGAGTAGTCCGGACAAGTTTTGTGACGGACGGACGGACAGACAGACGGACAGACAGACGACGGATAAGTGATCCCTATATGTCGCCACTACTCCGTAGAAGCGACACAATGATGCGCATCCGAACGACAAACAGTGATGTTATCAAGCGATAAAATCACTGATTTGGATATATTATTTCGATTCTAACACCACATCCGCAAATAAATGTTGAAGTACTTGATAGTTAAGCAAAATTGCGCCTGATTTGTTTCCGAACTTATTTTCAGCGCGTCAGATTTTTAGTGGTTACTTCACGTGTATAATGATAACGTCACATGTCTAAATATAGAACGTCAAACTGTGCATCTGTTGCATAATAACACATATTTTTGTTCTTCTATGTTCAATAGGGAAAATTGTGGGTCGTGTTAGAATTCTTAAGTATTGTTGATACCAGAAATAAATAAGTTGTCATAACATAATTAAATAAGACAAAATTTTAACTTAAAAAGACATAGATCTAGCACCAAAAAATGACTTTCAAATTAATGACCATTGTCTAACAACCATACCTTGTCATGATGAACAAGTATTTAAACTTTTATGTTTATAAATTTCATAGTTGTAATATTATTTTACTTAGTATGCAATTTTGACAAAAATGTTCATGTTAATGCTGATATCAATGCTTATCTAAGTTCCTGGGGAGATAATTATTGCAAGATTGGTGCCAGAGTTATGAACTTTCTCATTTAACATTTGGTTAATTATAAGGAGCATATATTTCAAGAATGAAGTTGATCCCTGAAATTATAAGGAAGAAACCGTAAAAAATAGCATTTTTTAAGGAAAATTCCAAGTTTAAGGGGAGATAAATGTAAAAATATTGTTGCTAGAGTTATGAATCTTATCACATAAGATGTGGTTGATGATTAGGAGCATATATTTGAAGTTGAAAACTTAAAAATGAAAAAGTTATAGAGAAAAATATGTTACTCAGCATTAAAACTTTAATCTGAAATCTGGACGCGGACGCCCGGGCGAGTAGGACAGCTATCCATATACTTTGTATAGTCAAGCTCAAAAAGGGGCAGAGTGAACTATAAGCCGTGATAGTTCACATATTAGAATTATATACAAATTCAGTGTTTTTTATCCTTATATAACTGATACCGGAATATGGCACCATTCCCAGTAGAAAATTGACAGCAAATTTCCCAATTCATGACTGATAAATTCCCTAAATAACATTGAAAATTATCTGAAAAAAAAGGCAAATTGAAAGGTAAACAAAAACAGTAATGCCAATTTGATAAGTGATATAGGATAAAAACTAACCACTTGAGTGATATTCGTACCCAGTTCATTTCGTACTTTCACACCTAAACATTATTTATGCAAAATTGTAATGATCAATAAATTTTTTAACCTCAAGTAGCAAAAATAATCATTAAATTTAACAATAAATGGTTTCAAAGTGTATATTATGCATAATTTCATGGCTCCCAATTTGAGTCAAACTGATGGATTTTTTTTCCAATCAGTCCGGTAACTGAAATTAAGTGGAGAAGTCACTTGCACTTGAATTGTATTTAATTCTAACATATGAACTATAACCTATTAATAAAAATCTATTCATCTGGCTGTATTACAAAATTGAATTCCTGTTGCAGTTTTAAAGAGTAATAAATAAGTTGGGTTTTATATAATTCATTTTCATTCTGTATTTTGATTAAATCTTGTTCATCTTTTTTAATTTGAATTTCTAGTCTTTGGTTGTCAAGTTTTACATTTTTGAGTGTCTGTTCTTCAATTTGCTCTTTGATGGTTTTCCTTCTTTTCTTTGGCTGAGTTGGTTCTGTCAATGTTGGCATTGTCGCTACAATAAATGTAAACATCAGGGGTTAAAGTGATTGTAAGTTGTATTACTTAAGAAAATGATCTTTTTTAAAAAGTCATTACCTACTTCCAAATGGCAAAAATTAAATGGTCTTCCCAACCCTTCAAAAACACGTTATCCAGAATAATTCCAAATACATCTGTATCAATAAAATTTTTTAATGCATTTACCTTCATCTTTCTATTTATGCAATTAATTTTCAAAATTATCATAATCAAAAAATGATTTGAAAACATAAAATAAAAACTTACAATTACTGGTCTTTTGTGATGTACCAACATCAGTTACAGTTGCTGTACAGCATGATGCTGTAAAGTAAAGAAAAATATCTTAAGAACGTAGCTGAAATGTATTCAATTTACAGAATCATGTCAATTTGGTGGTCAATGTCATATTTCACATGGCCTAAATAAGTACCGGCAAAATTAGATGTAATTTAACTTGATATCTGATACTTTTGCATTTACTTTGATGGCTATGTCCCCATGATATAAATAGAGGATATTTGTTTCTTTTGCATGTAAGATTGAAATATATTTTACTGAGTGAACACCAGATGCAATATGTTCATGAGTGGCATAGCCATGAGTGAAAATAGAATTGATGGTGTTGACAAATGAAAAACATTTCAAAATTTATGTGTAAAACAAATAAATTTTCTTTTTATTTCATGCTTTTTTAAGTGATTTTAACTATTTTACTGATTATACCCAGGAATGTTGCACAATCTCCTTCATGACGTCAACACTTTACGACATCACATCTTCAATTTTGAAATATAGTTCTGTTAAATTTCTCTAATGTTGTTACATTTATAACAAGATGTGTGATGACATCGTTTTTCTTTTCCTAAAGATGCAAAACTTACGTATGACAGCATTCATTTTTGCCTGTTATTCCATTTAGTAATTACTTTTACTTTATCCAGCGTAGGGTCGCGAGATCAGAAATCTCTTATAACCCCCTCGAGGTCTGACACCCAGTGATTATTATCCGGTATCAACAGTATATAACTTGTTTTTCATAACCTTATCGAGTCTGTTTTTTAGCGAATTCAGCGTTGGTGAACATACTACAGTATCTGGTAATTTATTCCATTCTGGTATTACTCTTAATGAGAAAAAATGTTTTCTTATTTCCTTTTTACATGATTTTATTTTCAACTTCATGGAATTTCCTCTGATGTTATGGTTACCAAGTTGTGCTTTTTCAAAAAATACATTGTAATCTATATCTTCCTTCCCATTTAATAATTTTCATACTTGAATGATATCACCTCTAAATCTTCTGTAAGCCAACGTAGGAATTTCCAGAATTTTTAATTGTTCTACATACGATAAATTTCTGATACATTGAACCATTTTTGTTGCTCTTTTTTGAACTCTTATGACTGCTTCAATATCTTTTTTAAATCTTGGACTCCAAATAATATTTCCATATTCAAGATGTGGTCTCATCAGTGTTTTATAAAGTTTACGAAATTGTTTTATATTTACATGTAAGAAGGTATTTCTAACCAAACCAATAACCAATTGCTTTATTAATACAATTACTTATGTGATGTCGAAATTTCAAATCCTTATCATATAATATACCTAAATCTCTTTCTTCATCACTAGATCTCAATTGTTTAGTTGTTAATTCACTTTTCATAAAATATTGATGTTCTGTGTTATTGTGTCCATAATGAATAACACAGCATTTGTCTACATTAAATTGCATTAACCACTTTTCACTCCATTGTATTAAACTATCATTGTCATTTTGTATTTGGTTAAAGTCTTCATTTACATTTGCCAGGTTAAATAATTTTGTGTCATCTGCAAAGCGACGCAAGGTACTTTTAATTTGACTTTCAATGTCATTAATGAATATAAGAAACAATATTGGTCCTAAAACACTTCCCTTTGGAACACCACTTGTTACACTACAATAGTCAGATTTACTATTATTAACAACAACACACTGAGTTCTGTTTGTAAGGAATGCTTTGATCCATGATAAAAGTGCACCACCAATACCATAAGATTGCAATTTAAGTATTAGTCTAGAATGTGGAACCATATCAAATGCTTTTTTAAAATCATAATACAAACAATCAAAATTTGTTCCTTCATCTAACCAATCAGTCCACTTTTCCATTACTTCTAGTAACTGAAGGGCACATGATCTAAGCGATCTAAATCCATATTGGGCTGCAGAGAAAAAGTTGTTAACATTCATATAGTCTACAATTATATTATTCCTTACTACTTTTTCCAATAATTTACAGGGTATACATGTCAAACTAATTGGTCTATAATTTCCTGGTGAATCTTTACTTCCTTTTTTAAATAAGGCTTTGATATTCGCAGTCTTCCAATCCATAGGCAATATTCCAGTTTCTACAGATTCAGTAAATATAAGTATTAAAGGAGAAACAATTGATGTTCTCAATTCTTTTAAAACCCTTGGGTGAAGCAAATGTGGACCACAAGATTTATTAACATTTAAATTCTCAAGAAGCTTAGTCAATACTTCTCCACTGAAATAAATGTCATTTAATGTATTTCCACCACTGCGATTTGTAATATCTGCAAGATTGTTGTTATTTTCAATTTGAAATACACTTTTAAAGAATTTATTTAGTTCATTAGCTTAATTTGTCTAAGTCACTTTCAGTATATGTACCATTTTCACATTTTAAATGAGAAATACCACTTTTTACTTTCTTCTTGGAGTTTGCATATTTATAAAAAGCTTTTTGATTATCTTCTTCTGATATTTTCTTTTTAAAAATCTGACCTTGCTTTTCTACATCTCTTTGTTGCAATATTTTCATTGTTACAATAGTTCAAATAGTATCTAAGTTCTTTTGTTTGTTGATATCTATTCCATGATTTATGTTTTTTCTTTACAGCTTTCAAGGCTGTATTTGTCATCCACAAGGGCCTCTATGTTTAAAATTTCTTTTAGGTATGTGTTTATTTACACTATTTGAATTGTTTCTTTAAAAATTAACCATTTATCCTCCAGACTTTTGTGCTGAAATTCAATACTCCAATCGATTGAACTCATTTCAAAATTTATGGAAGCGTAATCACCTCTATCATACATAAAGTTCAATTTATTTGGTTCTTCAATTTGCTCTACATTACATATAATATTTAAAGTCACAGTATATGATCACTTTTACCAACTGGTGGAAAGTGTTTCCAGTTTTTTCAATTAAAAACTCTTCATTAGTAAATATGAGGTCCAAGGTGCTAGGATTCTGGCCATTTCGAAATCTTGTGTGAAAATTCACTATTTGATATAAAAAACTATCACCCGTACTGCTTCGATGAATTCATGACTACTATGATTCTCAGGCATATTTGAAATCCAATTGATCCTATCAATCTCACGATAATTAAAGTCACCCATCACAACTATTCTACTGTAAAAACTGTCTTTTATACAGCTAAACAGAGTATTTAATTCTTTGTTATTTATATCACATGAATTTGGAGATCTGTGTACTAATTAAGATGTTTTCATGTTTATTAATTTCAACTTCACACCATAATGCTTCTTTACAAGAAATGCTATTTAGTCTTTCATAGAGAGATGCCCTTTACCTAAGCGAATAAATAATAAGGTTTCCTCTGTTACCTTTGTCAGTAAATTTAGGGATTGCAAAATAACTGATATCCTTTAATATTATAACTCAACAAGTCATAACATCTGCTGTTTTAGAAAAAAAGCTTCCGTTAATCCAATAACATCTGGCTGATGTATAAACAAATGAGCTTCCATTTCTGTCCATTTATTAGCTATACTGTCAGCATTGGTATATAAGCATTTTAAAACATCAATATTTTCTACACTAAAGTTAACAGTAGTTTCTGATGAATTTGAAGAATCTGTTATATCACTATCTGAAGAAAAAGAGTCCATACTATTACCACTATAATCTGTATCCACTTCTGAGACAAATCTAAATCTATTTTATCATCTAATAAATGTTTGAAGAAGTGTCATGTATTCCTACTACACTGTTAACAACAAATGATACATCATGATTAGTGCAATCAGAATGCTTCGAGATAAAGTCATTTTTACTATATACAACCTCATTACTTGAGGTACTAGAAACTTGTTTCAAAGAAGAAGAAAAATCAACATTAACAAAACTTGAACTATGTAAACACGAACTGTTTTTATTACTGTCTATGCAAATACACTCCTGCTGGAGCCTTCCCCTAAAGGGGAACTATGCATTAATGTTTGAATTTCAGATGTATAGGAATTGTTATTTAGACTTCCTGTCATATCTGTGTTTCTTTTAAAGAGTTCATCTTTAAGTTTTCGAAAGGTGAAGGAGGGATCTATCTCTCGACGTTTGGCAACTTCGGCCTTCATTAAATTATTCTGCTCTCTCTGACGCAAGGTATAGTCTGGAGTTATGATAATATTTTTAAATTCAGTATTTCTTTTGACAATTTTACCATTTGTGACAAATCTGTGTTTTTCAGTTTCATTTGAAAAACTTACTTTAAGGGGCCTCGGTCGGGGCCTTGGACCTGACTTTTTTTACCAAGTCTTATTATATTTATGCCTTGCTGAACAGATGCCAATTCACACATCTTTTTAACATTCTCAAGATCTCTATTTTCATTATCTTCAGAACTTTCATCTGCTTCAGGGAGACTAAATACTATAGCACTATTTTTTATCTTTTCACGCTCTTTGAAATCAATTATGGCCTGATCAACTTTAATTTCATTTAAGAGGTTAGAGTTTTGTTCCATTTGCATTTTGTCTAATCTTCCCTCCACTTTGCTTAACCTTTGATTAATAGAGTCCTGTGATTCTTTTGAGTTATTAAAAATTTGGAGCACTTTCCGTACACCTGGAACTGCCTTTTTACATCCATCACAATACCATATTATGTTTTCACTGATTTTAGATTTTGTTAATTCCTTATAAAAGCTTGACGACAAACCTGAGCAACTAATACAGTACCATCCATCACACAGTTCACATTGAATACCATCATTGATGACTTCAATTTTACATATTGAACAGATATTTTCATCAGCTATGCTATAACTATGATCATGTGACTTGTGCAAATCTTCCGAATTTACATAAGATAATTTATTTTCTCATTTGTAGATTAAACACTAGTGGCAGATTTATTGACAGTCTTATTTGAAACCAATCCTTTTCTTCTACCTGCCATAATTAATATATTAACTTCAAAATATAATTTTTATTTCCAAAAATAAATGGCGGCCATTTTGAACTTGAGCAGACGAACCATGTGCTCTTGAAGTCTTTTTCAGATTAAACAATAATAAGATAAATACACAACAATTGTTTGATAAGTACGTAGAGTGATAGTTCAAAAACTCATTTAGGGGTGTCAGTTTGTAGGGAGGGGGTTATCTAAACTTAGAACGATTTAATTTTATAGCTCCATGCTGAATTGCGACCATCTGCTAAACCGGAACCGGAAGTGCTTCTTAGTAATGATATTCCTTTCAGTCGCATTCAGATAAAGTCCAACCAAAGTGAAAATTATTTTTGATAAATTTCACTATTGGTAATTTGGAATATAATTACCTGATATATTAATTATCTGATATATTACAGTAAAACATTAGATAACACTCTTCCAAATAAGCGG